GTTTGGAGTGAGAAGAGCCGGGGACCCTGGGCAGCCGCTCACCCTCTGCCGCAGGCTGAGGCCTGTGTTTCACCCCCACCGGGCAGGTGGGGCTGCGGGGGCTGCAGGTGGGTGGGCTTCCCTGGACTGCAGGGAGTTCCTGCCGCAGCAGCACTGAGGGGTAAGGCTGGGCCTCACATCCACCATCTAGGTTTTGCTCTGGCTTCATCCTGAGGGGCCTGTAGCTCCGGTCCTCAGCCCAGGCTTGGGGAAGGGAGCCCAGCCCCCTAGGGTGCCGTCGCCCCCTGGGGTGCCCTGTAGCTTCTCTCTGCCGGTTGCAGGTGAGATCAGTCGAGAGCCCACACGGTGGCAGGCAGGGGGTCCATTCCAGGATTTCTGGCTTGACCCTTGGAGGTGACCCGAGAGAAAGAAGGCTGGGACTGAGAGCTAGAGAGGCCCGGCTGATGAAATGGCGGTGTGTGTGTGTGTGTGTGTGTGTGTGTGTGTGTGTGTTTTCCCTCCTTCCTTCCATTTTTTTTTTAAGCGAGAGATAAATAAATGTCGCCCTGAGATGACAAGAGAACATTGAAGGAGATGAAAGCAGAGTAAAAGGGAGCGAGAGCCCAGAAGCAAAGGACAGAGGGGCCCTGGGACCGTGCACTGCGAGGAGGGGAGAGATGAAAGAGGGGAACGATGGGCACGCAGGACCAAGCGAGCGGCAGAGCGGAGGATGGGGTTGCCACGGAAACGGAAGGAGGGGAGGAATGGAGGGAGAGGGAGGCTGGATGGAGAAGGCTGAGGGCGCTGCACGCACGCACGCACGGGGCTGGAGACCGGCTTGATGGAGCTGGGAGGGAAGCCACGTAGGGCTGGCTCCCAGGGCTGAACCAGGCCCCACTGTGGGGAAACCGAGTTTGGCGGGGGAGGAAGATACAACCCGGAAAGCTCATCCACCACGCCTGGACCTGGCAGGGTGCAGGGAGCTGGGTCTGGGGCCTGGGGGGGCCTGCAGGCATATCCTTTCTCCCAGCCTCAGTTTCCACTCCTGGGAAATGGAAGTGGGGCTCCCCACCGCGGAGGGTCACCTGGAAGCCTCCTCATGCACCTGACCGAGGTCCAGCCTGATAAAGGCGCCTGGTGCTCCTTCACTGTGCTTCTTGTCTCTGTCCCGTGAACTTGGGAGCCCAGGTTTTGTGGGTTTTTCCCCTGTTGGATCAAGTTGGATCCAGCGTAGTGAACCTGGGTGGGAGATGGGAGGTGCTTTTGGGCCGGCCACCCATCCATTCATCCTAGGCCTCAGTGAGTGCGTCGGTTCCCTTCCCCTTTCCGTCTCCTAGGGCCCACTCTGCTGACCTCTGACCTGGAAACAGATACAGTTGTGAATCAGTGGGACTGTACCAGGGTTCTCCAGAGAAATGGAAACAGTAGATTTATATATACACACAGAGAGAGAAAGATTTATTTTAAGGAATTGGCCCCCATGATTGTGGGGGCTGGAAAGTCCGAAATCTGCAGGGCAGGCTAGAAACTTGGGCGCGATTTCCGGGATGCAGTCTTGAGGCAGAATTCCTTCTTATCTGGGAGATTTCAGTTGTTCTCTTAAAACGAACGTCAACTGCTTGAAAGAGACCTGTCTGAGTTAGGAAGGGTGGCCTTTGTTCTTTGAAGTCGGCTGGTGGCAGGAGGTAATCACATCTACACAGTAGCTAGGGGCAACATCTAGGTGAGTGTTTGACCAACCGCCGGGCACCACAGCCTGGCAAAGTCCCACACGATTTTAACCTGACCTTCCCACGCTGTGGAGGACGCCTTCACCCTGCCCCAGGAGCTGCACCCGATCCTCTGGCGTGAGGATTCCCCCCCCACCGCCGCCGCAGGAAAGGGCAGTCCTGGCAAAGGGATCGGCCTGTGCAAAGGCCCTGAGGCAGGAAACACCCATGGGGCATACAGAGGAGCAGGAGACTTAATGAGGGGTCAGGTGGAGCTTAGTTGGGGAAACTTCACCCTACTGGACATGCGGCTGAGAGTGGGCATTGTCGGTCCCTGCTTTGCCATCTCAAGAGATATGGCCTTGGCCCTGTCTCTTCCCTTCCCTGGGGCACAAGGAACCGCAGGCCCCTGTGTGGTGTGTGGGAGGCTGGCACATGGGTGGCTCAGCAGACCTGTCTACAGAGAAAAGGGGAAGCTGAGGCAGAGAGTCCTCTGAAGAAGAGACTCACGCCCTCCCCCGGGGCACCCCCCACCCCACACGGCCCCTTCCACTGCAGAAGTGAGACTGAGGTTTGCACAAGCCTCCGGCTTTTGCTTTCGCTTCCTCTTCCAGTCTGGGCACGTGAGCAGAGCTTGCCTTTACGTCTGTGCTGAGGGGACAAGGAGGGTAGGGCGGTTTTGCAGCACGTGGAAGTCCCACGAGTGATTTTACAGACATGTCCACACCTGGGACCTCCTTTCCCCTCACTGGGCTCAGGTTCCTGCCCCGCCCACTCCAGACTCATCTTACCATCTCTGAGGCTCCGGGGGACAAAGGGCCCAGAGACACCCAGACACACGCGCACACACGCACACCAGCAGGACAGCTGGTGCCAGGGCAGAAAAGGAAGCAGGAGCCAGATCCCACAGGTCTTGCGTGACAGGCAGAGGAGGGGGCCCCTCTGCTGTCAGCTCTGTGGGGCCCTGATCTGCCTCCCCCCAGGCCCCAGCCGACCCCACTTGCACCTCCTGCCTCCCAAAGGTCCCGGTACCTCAACTGTTGCTTGAGCCCACTCTGGGCCGCTCCCTGAGGAAGGGAACTTTATTTTGGTCCCTGCCGTGTCCGCACAACCAAGATTAGCACCTCAGCACCCAGCAGGCACCCAGTAAATGCGTGTTGAACCAGTGATCTGGTGGCAGGACTGGTCATCTCACCCTCTGGGTCGCTGGGGGAGTCAAAGCCAATATGAGGGGCCCAGGGGCCACCCTGCCCTCCCCGCAGCAGCCCGATGCCTGCTGGGCCCCTCCAAGGACATCCATGACAGTGTGCCTGGTAACATCCCAGGGCTGGGTTGGCAGTGGCCCTGAGACTTCCCATGTCTCCAGCAGGTGGTGGGAGTTAGTCGAAGAATGGGCAGAACCTTCTGGTTCTGCCTTCAAAATGGTTCCTGTCCCATCGGCCCCAAGGCCAGCCAGGGCCGGAGTGTGCAGTCCACCCGCACTCTAATCCACTGTTCACATTTTGGGGACCCCAGCCCCCCACAGGTCCCTGGCCCTCCCTGCCGTCAGAGCCAGGGGTTTCAGTCAGAAGAGGGGTGGTCACCTGCAGAAACCCTGATGGGCCAGGCAACCTGTCCAAGGCCCCACAGCCAGTCATGGATTCGTTTGACAAGCGCCTGTCAGTGTTTACAGCAGGAGAGGAAAGAGCTGCGGGAGTTCTGGGCCCTGCCTGGGTGGGGGAGGCTCTCTGCTGGGCCTCAGCCCTGACCTCGCCTCTTGCCCCTCCCCAGGGGCTGGCCGGACCTCAGGCCCGGCTGGAGGGGGAAGGGGGCGATGCTGAGCCCTGAGAAACGGGGCAGCCCTGGGCTGCGGGGTCACACCACATGGCCTTTCCTCCCTCTCCGCTCTCTCCTTATCCTCCCCCTGCCCGTGCTTTTGTTTCTTGGCCTCCACAGCCTCTTTCTCTTCCTCCCTCCCTCCCTCCCTCTCCCTCTGCTGTGGCCTCCCTTCCCCCATTCCTAGCGCACGTCTTTAAACTATAATCAGGCGCCTGTTCCGTTTCCTCTGTTTCCCTGCCTTTGCCATTTCCTTTCTCTGTGCCCAGGGGACGGTGGGTGCCCCGCTAGGAGACAGAGCTGCACCCGATGACACCCCTCCCCTCACAGCCAAGGGCCAGTCTGGGCTCCCCTTGCCCTGGACACTGTGCAAAGCTTTTGTTCTGAGCCCACAGCACCGGTGGCCAGGAGAGGCCGTGCCCTGAGGACAGTGTCGCAAGGGTAGCCCGAGGCGGAGGACAAAGCCCGCCCTGCCACGCAGAGGGTGAGAATGTGGCAGACTCTCCATGGCCTCAAACGGGGGGTGCTGTAGCCTTTGAGAAGGAGCCTGACAAGGGGAGAGTGGGGGACCAGAAAGGTGGCCCAGCAGGAAGAGGAAGCGTGACATCCGTTTGCAGAACCCCCAGCTTCCCACTAGTCACTTCCACGTGTGACAGAAAGAACCGCGCATGCGGAATGCGGGCAAATAAGAGGCCCTCCGCCTGCCTTCTCGTGGCGTCTGTCTCAGCAGCAGCGCCCCCGCTGTGCGCACGCGCAAGCACGTGAGCACGCGCATGTGCGCACGCGCGAGCGGCTGCCCCCTGCACGCAGGACGATGTGGACGCAGGGTGGCCGCTGGGAGCCGAGACTGGGCCTCGGGCCTAGACGTGCGGTTCCAGGGTGCACAGGCTATGGAGCCGGGCAGCGGAGCCGGCTCTGCCCGCTCTGCCCGATCTGCCTGCTTTTCGCGGGCCCCCTGAAACACATTAATCGGTCCCCGTCCCTGGGCTGTGACATGGGGTCCACGCACCCCCACCTCCTGGGGTTGTTTCATGACTAAGTGGGCTCACTTAGCATGGCACTGCCACCCGTGTTTGTGGCCGACAGTTGACAGCTCTGTGTCCTCTCCCCTACCCCCAACACTTGGCCACATCCCCTTGTACACCCAGGGATAGGTCCTAACAGAAACACCTTCTCATCCTCAGCCCCAAAGCTACCGCCACCTCCCTGTCACCATAGGAAGGGGACACCTGGTTGGGGGGGCAGGCTTGGCTTGTGGGGGGGAGGTCCTGGTGTCATCGGTAGAAATAGCCCTTTCACTCTAGATGGTCCCTTCTAACAGGAGGGATGACTCTCCCTCGAGGGGACACAGGTTCTGGCCCCCACAGGCAGGTGCTGGCCCACTTTGTCCCCGGCTTGTCTGCCGGTAGAGTAATGTTTGTCTTTGCCTCCATTCCCTAGAGGTGGTTGCCAGGGAAGGGGCGGTGCCAGGGACTGGGGCCCAGGAAGAAGGGACAGGGAAGGGGACTGGCATACACACTGACCTCATTTCACTCCCCCCTCGAGTCAGGCATTTCATAGAGAGGGAATAGAAACTTTAGTCCATAGAGACAGAACAGGGACCTCGGACCATAGAGATGAGGAAACTGAGACTTGATGTGAGGGGATCTGCTTGGGCTACAAGAAGGACCAAGTGCAGACTGAACTCAAAGCTCAGGGCCAACTCAAAGCTCATAGAATCTGCTGTTGAGGGTCAGTTCCTCCCCTTTGCCTGCCCACTGGCCTTACCCCTGGGGAAGTCTGGAAAAAAAAGCTGAGCTCGTAGTCTGCTCAAACCCACAACGGACATGAGGGTGGCCTTGGGCGGTGCTGGGTGCTGCGTGAGACCAGTCGATGTGGTGCAGCCCGCAGAGTGGCTGTGGCGGGCACAACATCTCCCCTGAGAGCTCCGTAAGGGCAGGGTCCCCTCCCCCCCACCTCACCACCTACACCTTGGAGCACAGGGCCCGACCCGGAGCAGGGAAATTTAGCAAATAGTATTTGTCCCACAAACGAACAGGTGAGTTCTCCGTTTCCAGAGGTTGTCTGCAGTCACCCAAACCTTTGCTGAACTGGGGGCCCCAGAATGGCAATTCCTCTCATCTCTGGGGCTTTCGTCAGAAAAGGCTGCTTCTAGAGACCTGGGCAGCGGAGAACAGTGCTTCTTCGTATCTGTGAGGGTGCCCTGAGGAACTGAGCTCCTTCCCCAGAGAGATAGCTGAGGCCATGGCCCTTCCAAGGATAGGGTTTTCATCCCCACCTTTAGATGGGGAGACAGGCAGCGAAGTGACTTTGAAATAACAGTGCTTAGTCACTTGCATGTGACAGCTGGGACTTGAGGCTAAGCGGCCCCGACTTCCTCACGGGGCTGGGGGTGGGCCCCTTCAGCCTGTCCCAGATGGGCCGGAGCCCCGAGTCAGAGGTCCCCTCCATCTGACCCCTTCCACGAGAACCCTGCTTTAGGCTTAATAGTTAAGTCTTTAGAGTCCGTGTCAAGGAGGCTAAATTCCTGTCTGGGGGATTTTATTTTTAGCCGGCTGCAGGAAGGGGAGGCTCTGCTGGCCTGCGGGGGGTTGGAGGGGAGACGCCAGGCCAGGGCCTGTTTCCTGAGGAAGGGCTGCCGCTGAGCTGTGCACCAACTGTAGCCCCGCTGGGGGGAGTGGGCGAGGCAGGCAGGAGCCACCCCAGGAATGTCCGCCTTCCTATGGCGTGCCTCCCATGCGCCCAGCCCTGAGCCGGGAGTGGAGGCTTCGATTGTGAGTCTCCAGTTCAGGCCACGGAGGAGGCCCTCCCACATCCGGGCACTGCAGGCCAGGAGAGGCCGGCAGAAGGCACAGGCCCGTGAGCCAAGCCGGGCAGCAGAGCCCCAGGAACAGGTGGAATTTGAGAACAGCCTGGGAGGCTGCTGGTGGGAGGAGCCAGGAGCTCAGCGGGGTTGGAAACAGGTGAGAAGGGTGGGAGCCCCTAGAGGATGCCCACGAACTCAGGGTCTGGACCTGGACAGGTGGGCACATTCGTTTTTTAAAGGACGGTTGCCTCAAACAGGCTCGCCTTTGCTGAGCCCTGCCTTCAAATCAGATCTCGCATGGAATCCCAATCCGCAAGTCAGAAAACAAAACTTTATTTTTCGCCGGTATACGTTTGGACACTTAAGTGCGTGACATTTAGCCAATTGAGAACTACGACCTGTGGGGGACCTGGTCACTTAGTGTCAGGGTGACCGGTGGGAGCCACTGTGAGGTTGGCCTTGGCCCTAATGTACATTTGCGAGTCACCTGGTTTTTGCCCGATGTGCATTCTTTGCAACACCGAAGCCCCTCCTCATTCGTATGGACGGGCTGTCGCACGTGGTGACGGTTGTGTGACACCTCGCTGTGGTCTCAAGGCCCGGGCAAAATCAATCACCTTGGCAACAAAGCCGGAGGGGCCACAGCGCGTGATGGAATGAGGTGTGCTGCATATACCTGGGAGCAGATGGGTTTTCTAAAATCGGCTTTTAAAAATAGAGGAGTCCTTCCTTCTTGTGATTTTTTTTTTAATCAGGAGGCTGTGCCGGGCATGCTTTGAGAACCGCTCCACCTCCCTGTTTTACAGATGGGGAGACCGAGGCCAGCGGGTCGGGGGAGGGGGGAGGCGGGCTTGCCCAGGATCTGTAGGAAGATAAGTGGATGGGCAGAGACTCGAGGGGCTGGAACGGTGGTCACTGTTCCCTGTGATTATGTGTGCCCTGTGCTCAAGGCAGGAGTGATTTGGGGCACTCACAGACCTCAAATTAGCCAATTTCTTGCTGTGACTACATGCGTGTCTGTCTGTCTGTCTGTGCAGCAGCAAGCCTGAAGCACTAATGCACCCTTCTCTCCTCCCCCGCAGCGATGCCCTCCTAGCCAGCCGCCCAGGGATGGAGGGCTTCATGGACTCAGGGACTCAGACGGACGCCGTGGTGGTGCTGTCCTTGGCTCAGGCTGCTGTGCTGGGCCTGGTCTCGGAAAATGAGCTCTTCGGAGCCACCATAAGCGCCGAAGCCTTCTACCCGGACCTGGGGCCCGAGCTGTCCGGGGCTTCCATGGGGGAGCCGGGCCCCCCGGGTCCCGACGTCTACCAGCTGGCCTGCAACGGGCGGGCCCTGGAGGAGCCGGCGGAGGAGGAGGTGCTGGAGGTGGAGGCGGCCTTCGAGAAGCACACCCGGCGGAAGACACGGCCGCCCGTGCGGCTGGTGCCCAAGGTCAAGTTTGAGAAGGTGGAGGAGGAGGAGGAACAGGAGGTCTATGAGGTGTCCGTGCCTGGGGACGACAAGGACGCAGGCCCCGTGGAGGTGCCCGCGGATGTGGCGGGCGGCGGCTGCGAGTCGCTGGTGCAGAGCAGCGCCGTCAAGATGATCGACCTCAGCGCCTTCAGCCGCAAGCCCCGGACACTGCGGCCCCTGCCCCGAGCCCCGCGGCCAGAGCTGGATGTGGCCCCCTACGACCCCCATTTCTCCGACCCGGCCCGGGACGGCTTCCCGGAGCCTGGCATGGCGCTGCCAGGGCCCGAGGCCTTGCCGACGGAGTGTGGTTTCGAGCCGCCCCCGCTGGCGCCCCTGAATGACCCCGAGGCCCCTACCATGGAGTCCCCCGAGCCCGTGAAGCCGGAGCAGGGCTTCGTGTGGCAGGAGGCAGGCGAGTTCGAGGCGGACGCGGCGGGCTCCACGGTGGAGCGCCACAAGAAGGCGCAGCTGGACCGGCTGGACATCAACGTGCAGATCGACGACTCCTACCTGGTGGAGGCGGGCGACCGCCAGAAACGCTGGCAGTGCCGCATGTGCGAGAAGTCCTACACGTCCAAGTACAACCTGGTGACGCACATCCTGGGCCACAACGGCATCAAGCCGCACTCCTGCCCGCACTGCAGCAAGCTCTTCAAGCAGCCCAGCCACCTGCAGACGCACCTGCTGACGCACCAGGGCACCCGGCCCCACAAGTGCCAGGTGTGCCACAAGGCCTTCACGCAGACCAGCCACCTCAAGCGCCACATGCTGCTGCACTCGGAGGTCAAGCCCTACAGCTGCCACTTCTGCGGCCGCGGCTTCGCCTACCCCAGCGAGCTCAAGGCCCACGAGGTGAAGCACGAGAGCGGCCGCTGCCACGTCTGCGTCGAGTGCGGCCTGGACTTCTCCACCCTGACCCAGCTCAAGCGCCACCTGGCGTCCCACCAGGGCCCCACCCTCTACCAGTGCCTCGAGTGCGACAAGTCCTTCCACTACCGCAGCCAGCTGCAGAACCACATGCTCAAGCACCAGAACGTGCGGCCCTTCGTGTGCACCGAGTGCGGCATGGAGTTCAGCCAGATCCACCACCTCAAGCAGCACTCGCTCACCCACAAGGTACGGCTGCGGGCCTGTGCACCCCTGTGCGCCTGCGCGCCCCCGCGCTTCCCAAAGAGCTGGGTGAGATCATTTAGGCATGGTTTGCAGGTGAACAGTTCCTATTTTTTAGCGACGTCTATGAAAAATATAGCAATTAGGTTAGTTGTCTTAAATAATCAAACCTGACTTACTTTAAAAAATTTTTTTTTTCCTGAAACGTTTGAGAAACCATATACCTGCCCTCCTGCTTTATAGATGGATGGGAGGGACGGACTGGACGGACGGACCTACAGATGGGTTCCTTTGTTCCTCGTAACAAAAGAATGTCAAAACCTGCAACTTCCCTTTAGGAAAAACCTAAATATATTTCATGTAAAAGAGAATACAGTCAGGAAGAATATTAGTTGTGGAAAAGTATAGCTGAGTTTAGAAGTGGTTTATGGAGAGGGAAGGTGGACCGTACTGTTCTCAACCTTGGTGTTTTCCCCCTCCTCCTCCCTCCTCCCCTTTCAGGCCAGTCGCCACCCCACCTTTCAGCCGGCGTCGCCTCCTCTGAGAGGCCCTGATGACCAGGCAGGTGGAACGAGGCCTCTCGGGACCCACATCCCACTCTGGCACCCGGCCAGTGCTCTGGTTGCCACCCCAAACCCAGCCAGCTGCACACCTTGAAGCACCGTGCAGACAGTGTCCTCTCTTCGTAGGGGTGGCCTTAGAGACACCCCAGGGCAAACCGGTGCCCTTGCCTCTCACCGTGGACACTGCACGGTGATGGGGGAGCAACCGTGTGCCAGGCCAAGGACCCCGCCCGCCCCGGGGCTGGGACATTTCCAATAGAGCAGACATGATGTGTAGGCTCGGGCCAGGTGCTCCTGTGCTCGGTTGGTGTAGCTGCCAAGAGCACCGTGTTAAGAAGGATTCTGCAGCAGAATCTGGGCTCAGTCCCAACCCCAGAACGTGCCTGAAGCACCAACCAGACGCTGATTGTGTCTGTGGGGAGTGCGAGTGAAGAGTGCTAAGTTCGCAGGCTATTTATTTGCCATCTTTCTCCTCTGCCGAAACTCCCCACCTGTCTGCAAAGTGTTAAAAGATACATAATGCAGTGAAGAAAAGCTGAAAGGCAAAAATCAAAGGCTAATCCGATTGGAAACATTCCTCTCGTCAGCCTAAGTTTGTACAATGTGTCAGGCGCTTGCCGGGTGCGCTCCCAAAGGGCAGGGCCCCCTGGTGGTCACACATGTCTCCGCGCCTCCAGCGAGCCTGGGAGGCCTGCTAAGAGGAATAGACACTGGAACCGTTCCATTACGACCCAACACTTTATACCAGGGACAGGGATGGCAGCTGCAACCACAGAAATGTGTGTGTGTGTGTGTGTGTGTGTGTGTCCCACTGGGACTCTACTGACTGACTGGGGTTCTAGCAAAGAGTTCAGTTCCCAAATTTTGCTCTAACATTTCTCCCCAGACAATCTGTGCCCATAGCACCTTGTCTTGCTCTGGGGCCACCTCCAGACTTTGTGGCAAAGCCCAGTGAGAGTCCAAACCACAGACTCTGTCTCCTGGCGCTGAGTGCCCCAAACCCCACCAATAATGAGAATTACCTAAGGAACCTGCTGAGCCCCTAAGTCGTGCCAAATGGGAATCTCCAAGGAGCGGCCCGAGAAGCTGTTCCTCTATCAAGAATCACATGTGGTCCTTAGCGCCAGGGAAGGTTGGAAAACTCTGGGAGGTCAGTGAAGGGCTCCGAGTTTTGAGGGGCCTAAATTCTACACAGACCCGAGTGTCACTGTTTCCTCGGGCACCTGTACGTGAATCATACTCTCAAAGGGGTCCGTGGGAAAGATCACTGAGGAGGGAAACACTCAGATACATTCTGGATGCGAGGAAGTAAATCCGTGGCCACCAGGCTAAACCTGCGCCTTCTAGGCCACAGGCTGGCCCCTCACGCCTGGTGTGATGTTGGTTTGTAGCCACGTGCCTGGTCCGTGGTTGCTGAATGAATGAATGAATGAATGAACTAAAACATTTGCCTGGCGAGCTGGAGATAGCAGGCATGTAGGTAGGAACCAGAAGGCCCAGCCCATCTCTGCCTAATACTGCAGGGCTTCCTGGAGCAGGGGGCCTTGCCCTGGCACTCTCCCCATGGTTTTGAACTCGTGGTCCGTGATTGGGACACCCCTGGGAAGTCACTCCCCTGCAGCTGCACAGATGGTCTGGCCCTGAGCCTCGCTCGTCCCCACCCCCACAGGGCGTGAAGGAGTTCAAGTGCGAGGTGTGCGGCCGGGAGTTCACGCTGCAGGCGAACATGAAGCGGCACATGCTGATCCACACCAGTGTCCGGCCCTACCAGTGCCACATCTGCTTCAAGACCTTCGTGCAGAAGCAGACCCTCAAGACCCACATGATTGTACACTCGCCGGTGAAGCCATTCAAGTGCAAGGTACGTGGCCCTCCAGCCCCACAGTGGGGCAGTCCCCTGAAAGGCCTGGCCACAGCGGGCGAGTCACTGCATAGTACACAGGGTTGGCCTGCTTGAGGGGAGCTGCCTGGGCTTCAGGGAGTTGGAGTGGGCGGTGGGGCTTCAGATCCCACAGCGGCTGCAGTTGTTTGGGGTTTTTGAGAGTCAGGGGGCATCCTGGCACAGCCACAGGGAAAGCACCCAGGCCCCGGACTCAGTGCTGCAGCAGATCCGAGCCTGGATTCCCAACTGCTCCGGCTCAGGGAGTGCGGGGCAGCCCCACAGAACTGGTGACCCGTGCAGCCCCTCAGTTCTCTGCCTCTCGGACCTCTGGGCCCCACAGGAAAGAGTAGAATGAGCGCTGTCCATAGCTAGTGGGGCTGCAGCCCAGCCATGGAGGTGGGAGGGGGTCGGGGTCCTGGAGGGCGGGCTGATGGGGCCCATGGTGTCTTCCAGGTGTGCGGGAAGTCCTTCAACCGCATGTACAACCTGCTGGGCCACATGCACCTGCACGCAGGCAGCAAGCCCTTCAAGTGCCCCTACTGCTCCAGCAAGTTTAACCTCAAGGGCAACCTGAGCCGGCACATGAAGGTCAAGCACGGCGTCATGGACATTGGTCTGGACAGCCAAGGTGGGTGGGCCACGCGCAGCGGACGGAGCCGGAGCGGTGCCCTCACGGCACGTGCAGGAGCCTCCTGTCCGGTGAGGGGGACCGGGAGGCTGGCCAGGCCTGAGACCTCACTGGGGTGGGCTCAGGTCTGGAGAGGGGGCACGCTGGAGGGCCACTGTGCTGATGATGGGATGTTTGTGTACTCTTCAAAGGACTTAAGTGGGCTCACGTAAACTATATAATAAAAATAATAACAACCTATGGAATGCTAATTGTGTGCCAGGCCTTCATTAACTTTATGTGACCCTTACGGGGAGGTGGGCGCCATTTGACAGAGGCGGAAACTCGAAGACCGAGGAGTTAGGTAACTCACGCAAAATCACGACAGACAGGAGGTGAAAGACACTTTATCTCATTACTGAGCAATGATATGAAAATAAAAGGTTGGGAAAGAAAGTATCAAATGGGAAAATGGCAACTGGAAAGGTAAGGGAGAGCCAGGTGAGGTCATAGTGCCACTTGTCTGATAGGCACGCAGAGGGGACCTCTGACCTTCCCAGTAGCCAAGGTGGAGTGTGCTTGTCCTCATGGGCACAAGATGGCTGCCAGTAACCTACAGCAGCAATGTGCTCCCTTGTCCACATCCAGTGGGAGTGTTAAGAGCCTGCTCCCCTTTGCTCTATGAAACCAACAAGAATATTCTAAGAATTCACAAACTAGCCTTTCCTCATAGTTCACTGGCCAGAAGTGGGTCCCACTCATTTGGCCAGCAGTGGGCTTTCCTCTTAGACCAGTGGTATTCAATGGAGGGGGTGAATCTGTCTCCTAAGGACATTTTGGCCATGTCTAGACACATTTTTGGTTGTCCCCACTGGGAGGGGGGAATGCTGTGAAACATCCCACAAGGCACAGGACAGTCCCCACAGCAAGTAAGATGTCCCCAAATGTTAATAGGGCCAGGGTTGGAGTCCCTGCCTTACCCTTACCAGGGCTACTGCCCCCAGTCTGGGATCCATTTCTCCCCAAAACGCATTGTGTGTCCTGGGTGGACGGGGCAGAATGAACACTGGGGCTTAGCCTCAGTCCCTGGTGGCCACCCTCCCGGGTCCCCAGATCTCCTCAGAGGCTGCCGTCCTCCTGTGACTCATTGGAAGGCAGCCCAGGCCTCCAGTGCGGAGTTTTCTCTCTGGCTTTTGATCCAACAGTAAGAGCATTATAGTAAGATGTCTGTTGGATAAAATTAGAGGAGGGCACATTCTCTGATTAAGAGTTTTTGCCTTACCCTCTGTGTTAACCTTCCTCGGGTGTTTGTCCTTGGAGAGCCAGGCCCCAGAGACCACTGGGTAGAACTGGCTTCCAGCACCAATGCTGCAAGGGGCTCAGAGGTCCGGTCCCCCGCACTGCTCCCCAGCGCCCCCACCAGGTGAGGCAGAGCAGCGCAGTGAATGAAGACAGCTGCACTTGCTGGGGCCCTTTGGCAAGCAGCCAAACCCCTCCCAGCTGCCTTTTGGTCTCCTAAGTGGGGTTGCTGGGAGCAAATGGATGAGCTCATGCCTGGCATGCAGTAGATGCCAAATGAGTGCTGATGCAGAGACAGGGCAGAGGGCAGCAGGCTGGCTTTCGTGTGGCAAAGGGGACCACACTGCAGACAGTTTAGTGACTCAGGAGGGACCACAGAGGCAGGACCCAAAGAAGAGCCCTGCACACACAGGTCTAGAGCTCAGGCCTGGGAAGCCGCTTCCCAGCTGCCGGTTTCCTGTGTGGGGGCGACGACCTCTTCCCCAGAGAGGCAGCCCTTGGGCCTCACTGTGCGCCTCTTTTGCAGACCCCATGATGGAACTGACGGGCACTGACCCCTCCGAGCTGGACGGCCAGCAGGAGATGGAGGACTTCGAGGAGAATGCCTTCACCTACGCCGCCGTGGACGGCAGCGCCGAGGCCAGCGTCCTGACCGAGCAGGCCATGAAGGAGATGGCCTACTACAACGTGCTCTAGCCGACGCCGAGCCACCCGGGCTGGGGCGAGGAGGGCCCAGGGCGTGGGGGTGAGACCCGCGGGCTTCGGGCTGCGCCTGCCGCCGTGGAGGCGCGAGCGACTACTGCCCCACGGCTCCGAGCCCTCCCTGCTCCCCACCGAGTCGCGTGCACCACAAGGGACTTGGAGACCAAATGGACTGCACCCCTGGCCTCAGCTGTGAACCCGAACCAGGCCCCAGGCATCCCGGGGAAGGGAAGGCAACACAGGGGCCCAGGCCTGGGTCTCTGAGCCTGCTGCTGTGGGAAGTGGGGGACATGTGGACAGGGGCCATTTGGGGACGGGTCCCGAGGGCACAGGTGCCGGGGCGTTCCCAGGCCCAGCAGAGCTGGGGCAACCCTCCTGCTGGCCCCACAGGGGTCTTGACACTGGAAGAAGAGGCTGCTTGAGCCAGGTTTTGTTTCTCCTCTGGACCAGCTCCTGCTTCAGGGGGTGTCTGAGCTCCTGGGCTGGTCAGCACCGCCCACCACTGCCTGCTAGCCCCCGGGCTTCGAGAAGCCCAGGCCCCAGAGCTGTCTTCCCGCCCTGTCGGTGGACAGCCAGGCAGGGCCCCTGGTGTCTACCTCCTGGTGCCTCCCAAGGCCCCCAACCCCCCCGCCCCACAGCCAGCGTGCTCGGGCCGGCCTGGCTGGCGGGAGAGCAGGTGCAGCTCAGATCCCCCCTCGAGCGCCCCCTCCGGCCACCCCCTCACCCCTAGAAGGTCTGCATCTTACAGCCCTAAGATGGATTTCCACAAACATCATCCAACTCTCTCTTGATCTGGGACTCCAGGCCAGGGTCCCCGCCCACCCCCACCCCGTGAACAGAGCCGGGACACGCCTCGTGTTGGGCACACACTAACAGAGGGAGGCCCCATGAACAAGGGTGCAGGGCACAGTGCAGAGGTCACGGGGACCCAAGGGAGCTGTCCTCCGAGGAGGCCAGGACTGCCTGGGGCGGGGGAGCTAGAGCATCTTTCTCATTTAAAATGTAACAAGTATCCCCTTTGAAGATGGGGACAGCCCAGAGTCAGCAGGCTCCCGGAAAGAGCAACACCGAAAAAGGAAAGTGAAGACCACAGAGGGGAAAAAACAAAGGATTTTTTTTAGCACATGGGGGTATTTGGAAGGTAATTTATTACTACTTATTTTCCTTTCCAACTGTGTCACCTATGACCTTTCCTGATGGAGGCCGTTCTCTTTTCCCTGCGGATGCTTTTCTCATGTGCTGTGTGCCCCCAACCTAGAGCAGCCCGGCCGGGCAGGACCGGGGCCGGTGGCATCTCCTGCCAGAGGCCGGAGCCGAGGACCCCGCTCTGCCAGAGGCTCGCTCCCTCGCCCGCCCGCTCTGCTCACCGCTGTCCCCACACTGTCCTCTGCCCCTGGAACATAGGCTGCAGGCCCAGGGCAGGGGGGTGGCACATTCAGGAACGACAGGGCACCCAGACTCCCGCCTCCCAGGCTCCTGAGGCCTCCGTGGGGAGTGGCAGGCAGGGCTGTCCCCAAAGGCATGGAAGAAGGTGAAGCCACCAACTTTACAGCCTGGAAGCCAGGGGTAGGCAGGGCACAGCGGGGGGCAGGGAGGGGAATCTGAGGTGCAGCTGTGCCCAAGGCTGGACCCCCAGTGAAGCACCAGGCCAGGCCTCAGGGTGGCTGTGGCTGGGACTGAGGGGAAGACAAGGTGGCCTTGGGACCAGGCAGCCAGGTGCACCTTCCTTCTCTGCTACAGCGCATGCTAAGCAACAGGTGAGAGGGCAGAGGCCACCAGCGCCCCCAGGTGCCCGCCGTGATGACCCTCAGGTGGCAGTGACTCTGTCACTGTAGACGACATTTTCTCCTGCTGAGCAGAAGCATCTTCCCCTGCAAACTACCTCTTCCCACGACGTCTTTCTCCCCTGGTACCAAAAAGAACCCTGTACCTCCTCCTCCTCCTCCTCCTCCTCTCTCCTGCCAGCGCAGTGGCCTTGGTCTTGGGAACCCAAGGGAGAAGGTGCGGGCCCCAGGGTGGGGCTCTCCTCCCCCAGCCCCACCGTCAGCTCCGGCCCTCTGCGAGGTTCGATACTTGAACGCCCCCGCCCTGTGCCTTGGGCCTGGGCGAAGCTAAGAGAAGGGAGACAGCACAACTCACAATTTGAGCTGGTGGGGGGAGTGGTCTTGGCCAGGCTCCTGTCCTCCCCCCTGGCCCCCAGCCTTTGCAAAAGAGGTGTGCGGCCTCTCGGGCGACTCGGAAACTCCTGAACGAATTCCACTCTAACTTATTTTGACGTGTATACACACCAACCGTTTAGAACGTCCCACTTGTGCAAAGCCCTACTGTGTTTCCACGTTCCTGTTTAAGAGAAAAGTTTACTTAGCAATAATTATAAATAAATGAATATTCTTTAGCACGACGACTGCGAGTGCTTCCTTCCACCCTCCCCACGCCCTCCCCCGCCCCCCCAGAACTTCGCTCTCCCTTCCAGGGACCGTCCTGCTCACCTGTAGCACCAGGTGCCTACAGGGAGCTGCTCCGAGCCCCAGAGAAGGGGACAGGCCAAGGCCCCAGCAGAAAAGCCGCTTCCCTTCCTGACCCACCAACAGGGCACCAGTTAAAGAGCCAGCTCACCATGCTACACTGGACTTCAGAGGCTGTGTGTTCTGGGGAGCTGCAGGTCTTTGCTACTAATGGGCGAGAAGGGGCTGGAAACCTTGAGCTCCCTCCTTCCCCTTCCCCTTCCCCTTCCCCACCCTGAGCTGGGCAGACCAGCGCCAGCCTGGCAGCTTTTCTTCCCACAGCCCTGGCAGCAGAGCAGCCCTTCCAACTGAAGGGGGCGCCAGTGTGCGCGGCCGCTACAGCCCCACCTCAAACCTGACGCGCCTTCCCAAGGGTTCAGTTTTAGGAGCTGTGAGAGGGTCCCCCACCCCAAATTTGGGAAATGGACTTAGGGCTGCCAAATATTTATTTTAGTGAGTGAATAGGATACAACTCCTCCCTAGGAATAGGAGAGTAGCCCTGTAAATGGGATCTATTTAACTTTCCAGCAACTTTATAACCTTACTTTTCCAGTTTTGCTGAAGAATGGAGATGAACCAGAGCCTGGGACCCACTGTCCCCTTGTCCACACCCCCCAGTCCCCAGCCCCCAGCCCCCAGCCCCCAGCCAGCTGCCGAGTAGGGCTTGTTTTTTGTACCAAGAAAAGGGCAAAGCGGTCTGGAGATGTTTAGAACGTTAAAACCAACAGAGAAAGAAATCAGTGAAAACGTAACCAGAATCAGTAGCCCTAAAATGATACACGAACTGTGGTAGGAAACTCCAGGGAACCCATAGGCCTGCGACTCCAGACTCACGGCGGTTACTCAGGTGGCTCTGCCCGAATGCTACCTCGTCCCCTCCCCCCATCGTGGGCCCAACTGGATGGAGCCTGGGGCAGAGACCTAACAGGGGTCCGGTCTGTCCCTGGTGGAGACCCCAGGCCCCTGACGGCCTCCACCTCTAGGCCCCCACTGCCTCCTTCCCGAGGGACACGCACACAGCAGGCAGTTTTGTGAAGAGAGTTTAGTAGCTAAATATGGCACCATGTGTTCCAAGGGCGATATAAATTACAGTATGCAAAACATACTGGCGGGCTGAGGTAAAACACACTGTTCCTGCTTCCCGTCACCGTGGGGGGGAAACGCAGGTTCTTTTAAAAACATTTATAAAAAGTGTCCCCTAGCAAGGCCTCCAGAGAGGGCCGTGAGGCTCACCCTCCGGCGCATGCGCGAGGATCGGTGTCCGCCGCGGGGGCGCCAGACCGCACTCCCCGCTACTGGTGGCCCAGGGCTTTGTCCAGGTTGCTCTTGATGGTGTCCAGGAAGTCCGAGGTGTTCAGGAAGTGCTCGTTCAGCTTCACGCTGCGGAGAGAACACCGTGCATGTGAGAGGCTCAGCCCCTTCTCTCTGTCTCTCATGCCCCTGTAGGGGAGGCAGGGCCAGGCTACCGGTCAAAGGTTACCAGTAGCTCATGGCCAAAGGGCCGCAGCAAAGTCAGTGGGAACCTGGGAAGGCATGTCTGTCCTTTTCCAGGAGAATAGGCCCTGGGTACAAACTGTCCTGGGAGAAGCTGGGACATGGGTACGGGAAGGGGTGGGCACCTGTCCTGCCCCGGGCTCCTGGCAGCAAAGCTGACTCAGGAGGGGCCTTAGCCTCTTTCCACCGCCCAGAAGGCCGGCCCTGCCCTCTACCCGGGCCACGCACTTGCTGAGACCGTGGATGCAGCCCGCCAGGTCCTTGGTCATGGCTCCGCTCTCCACCGTCTGAACGCAGACCTTCTCCAGGGTCTGGGAGAACCTGCAGAGCACAGGGCAGAGCAAAAACCACAGCAGGGTCAGGGCCCAGCCCCCGCCCACGCTGGGCTCACTCCAGCTGGGCCCTGCACTCACCGGATGAGGTCCTGGTTCCCATCCAGCTTTCCCCGGTGCTCTAAGCCACGCGTCCAGGCAAAGATGCTGGCGATGGGGTTGGTGCTGGTGGGCCGGCCCTAGGGGAAAGGGTTGCAGGGGAATTAAGAGCCAACAAGGCAACAAGGGGACAGCTTGGACACCGCCTCCCACCCCTCAGGGCCAGCGGGGCCTCGGCCCCCACAAGAGATTGTGCGGGCCCCCCACACTGACCTTCTGGTGCTCCCGATAGTGGCGGGTGACTGTGCCGTGAGCAGCCTCAGCCTCGATGGTCTTTCCATCCGGGCACACCAGCACGGATGTCATCAGGCCCAGGGAGCCAAAGCCTGAAGCACGAGGAGACCCTCCTCTAAGTATAGGTGCCCCTCTCCCCTCAGAACAGCTGGACTCAGACCGCCCACCCTCCTGCTGTCACTCAACTCATGTCCCCACCCACCCCCAACTGTAACTGGGAGGAACACATTTCTGGTTTGTCTGCCCTGGTGGGGGGGGGGGTCTCCAGGGCCCCACACAGGGCAGGAGAGCACCTGGAAATTACGTATCGGTGGCCCCACCTCCAGGTGTCCCAGAGCCCATTGTCCTCAGCACTCAAGACTTCAGAGAGCTCTGTGCACCCAATCTGGCTGGAGGCCGAGAGGCACATTCAAGCAGAGAGAACATAGCCGCTTGCAGCCCCTCACAGTGACCGCTTCAGCGGCTGCTCGAAAGCTTTGTGAGGTCTTTCCAATGTTCCCCAAGGCCCCTGTGAACCCTTCCTAGAGACAAGGTCTCCCGGACTGCACACTGGACACCACAATAAGAATTAGAAAGTCCCAGGAAAGAAAAAGTGGGCGACTCCTGTAAGGAAATTCTTCGGCTGAGATGTCGGTCTGTTTGTTACCTGTGCTTTCTCCCTCACCCACCCCCAATCTCCTCAGGGGTAATTCCCATGCCTTTGTCTCTCACTGCTCTGGCTTTTCATCCTTCTAGTCTAGGTGGGAATTGTTCCCGCCAAAGAACTTTGCAAAATAAAGCCTCAAGGCTCTCTGCCTTTTCACCACAGCCAGGCCTGGGCTCCTCTTTTCTCCTTCTCAGGAGCTGGACCTCACCCCTCTCACTCACCCTTGTTTCCCATCCCCACCCTGCCCTGCATGCAGCCTCCTCCCACCATCTCCCCTTATTCCTGCCCCCCTCCCCAACGCTGGGCTCTTTCTCACGGTTCCTCTCTAAGGGCTGGCCCAGGCTTTCTGATCAACGCTTCAGGACGCTCGAGGGCCTGCGGATTTTCCATCTTCCCTGGTACCCTCCCACATCCTAAAGGTTCCCTGGGCAAAACAAATGCTCTGTACTTTGAAGAGCTCCCAGTTGTGCTCCATGCCATGTCTGCTTTCACTGGAGCCAAGCCTAGTCACCTGGGGCCTCCCTGCACAGAAACCTCAGCACCAACTTGAATTCCTGTGCCCTCCTTTCTCTTCATCCGCAGCTGCCCTAGTGCACTCATCCACACCCAGGAGAGGTCCCTTCTCCCTCAGCCTTCCTCAGCTGCCTGGGACCTCCCACCCGCTGCCATCCACGTGGGGTGGGGGACACCTTGCAGCGAGCCGGCAAGGCTAAAGTTTTCCACCAAAAGGGTCTGAAAATGACCCAAAAACCCACCCCCACAGGGAGCAGGGTGCTCCCGGCATACCCTGCGCCAGGATGTCCGACTGCACGTCGCCGTCGTAATTCTTGCAGGCCCACACAAAGCCGCCGGAAGACTTAAGGACCTGAGCCACCATGTCGTCAATGAGCCGGTGTTCGTACCAGATCTTATTCTTGTCGAAATCGGTCTTATAATGCCTGGAGGCAAAGGCGCCTGTTGTGGCAGGAGGGCGGGAGGCTGACAGGTTGGGGATCCCTTCCTAGGCCAAGTGCATAGGGACAGTGACCTCCCCAGGTAGGATGAGGGCAGGGGTTCGGGAGGGGGACAAGGAGGAAGGGCTGTGTCGGCAGGGAACGCGGTGAAGGGAGAGGCTGTTACTTGTCAAAGATGTCCTGGAAGATGTCCTTGAAGCGCCCGTCGTAGGCTTTCAGAATGGTGTTCTTGGTGCTCATGTACAGCGGCCACTTCTTCTGGATGGCGTACTGGAAGCAGCTGTGCGCAAACCCCGAAATGGACTGCAGGGGGGGAGAGAGAGGTCCCTGGCATGGTCCCGCTGTGGCCAGGCTCCGCCCAGGAACGGCACCCTTCCCTGCACATGACCCTGTCTGGCGACAGGGTCACCAGGCCCTGTCGCCATCCCCCCTCTCCCCCACTGGTGGGAGGGAACTGCCCACCAGCTTTGTTTCGGAAAGTGAGCTCCCTCTCTACAATTCTCAGACCCTGTGGCGGGGATGGGAATGGGATCTGTCATCTAGAGTGGGCTGTGTCTGGTTTATCCAATCAGAGCGCTCCCCTCTCTCCGGGCCTCTGTGATTGGCTCAGAGGCGGTCATGTGAGTGAGGCAAGCAAGGCTGCCGAACCGGCCAAGCTGGCAGGCATAAGCCTGCAGCAGGGAGCCAGGCTGGGAGAAAGGCGCTCAGGCGCTGTGCCCGCCTCACCTCGTCGGTGTTGTACATGCCCATGCCCACGCCGCCAGCAGGGAAGTTGTACACCTCCCATTCCTTGGGACTGCTGCCATCCTTCGGGGTGAACACCATCTTGAAGGTGCCGGCCCGATCAGCCACAAAGTCTGTGGCCTTGTACTGCAGAGACGAGAGGGTGGCTCAGGCCAAGGGCTCCAGATGTGGGAGTCCCCAGGCCAGCGGAGCCCGTCTCCTGCAGGGGCCCACCTGGTCGCCATGGGCGTGCCTGCCAATGGTGATGGGCTTGGTCCAGCCAGGGACAAGTCGGGGGATGTTTTTGCAGATAATGGGCTCCCGGAAGACAGTCCCACCGAGGATGTTCCGGATGGTCCCGTTGGGACTCTTCCACATCTTCTTCAGCTTGAACTCTAGAAGGGCAGAGATGG